TATCACAGTCAAACAATACTTAACGATCTATATGTAATCAGAATCTAAAATTGGACTTGTGCAATGGGATGTACACTCCTTGAAGGCAAGAACCATTTCATTTTTGTCATTATAGTCTGAGGGTCTATCAGAGTGCCCAGAAAATAATGCATGTATTACAAGTGCTTTCTGATTTACTGACTGATAACAAATTTAATGTATTTTTTTATTTTTTAAAGACATATTATATCTTTTATATTTTTATAAAGATTTTTTTTGTAAAGATATATGTAAGATATATAAGGGAGAGGTTGGTCTAATGCATAGAAGTTACAGGGAGGCAGATTTTGACTCAGTATAAGGCAACATTTCAGAACAATTGGAACTCTTCAACAATAAGCTAGAGTTTCATTGATTAATGAGTTTCTCATCACTAGAGGCATATAAATAAAGTTTGGATTGTTACTTTTGGGGACGCAATTGGCAGACTTAAAAATGGGTATGGATTGAAATATATACATTTTAAGGCCCAACTTCAACATGCAATGGCATATCTAGTGCTTCATCAAAAAATGTTGCAAGCCATTGACTCAGAAGTTTATTATACACGTATACACATGTGTCTATGTATTTCTGTGTATCTGTCTGTGTCTATATTCATTTATCCATACCTATACCTTTGCCTCCATATACATCCATGTCATATGCACACACATATGTATGTATGTGTGTATATATATACACACATATATATATACACATACACACACACACACACATATATATATATATATATATATATATACACACACACATACATACAGAGAGAGAGAGAGAGAGAGAGAGAGAGAGAGAGAGAGAAAGAGATGCTCTCAGAATAATTAGGAAAACATTTTACCTCTTTCAGCCTCAGTTTAATCATTTGTAAAATAAAGGGAGGCAGCATGATGATACAATAATCAGAGCACCTGCTCTGGAGTCAGAGGACCTTGGTTTAACTCTTGTGCCTGTTACTTATTAGCTGCATGACACTGGGCAAGTTCCTTAACTTTTCCTGGGTCTCAACTTGCTCATCTGTAAAATGAGGGTGTAAGACATGATGGTCTATGAGGTCCCTTTTCACCTTAGATCAATAATCAAATTACCCTGGATAAATGGAATTTCATTGTACTTAGAACTATTAATAGTGCTATACTTAAAAGAATACACATTTGCACATACAAAAACATGAAAAAAAAATAAAATGGTAGAAAAATGCTGTAGACTTCACTGTAGCCAAGTTATGGATGGGCACATCACTCACGGAAAATACCTAAAGATCTGGGATCACTCAAAATAGAAAAAAAGTTTGCATTGAGAATGTAGGTGGTGGCCAAACATGGCTCCTTTAAGAAGCAGTTTCTTTTGTGAAAGAGAGATGGTGCTATTATAATATATATAGGATGTAGATGTCTATTTTATAGAAGTATAGATTCTCCAAACTCACCCAAATTTGATTTCTGGATTTAATTCTCAGTGGAAAATAAACAGATATCAGAAATATCCAGTGGTTGTTTTAATTGTAGGCAATTTAAAGACTTAGACAAAGAATAGCAGACCTTTGAGAGGTCAAAACTTTCTTTCAGATTTTGAGAGAAACAGGTATCACTTAAAGGACAAGACTCAGTTCTGTGACAATTTCAATTATTGGATTTTCCATAGTATATGTTATTCTAAGGAATTTATGGTTTCATCTGTGTATCTTCTCCACTGATGTAGTTTCCACAATATAACCTCCAGTGAGACTCGATTCATTCCTTACTAGCTAGAAGCCCTCCTCTCAAAGGTACCATTATATTGCTGGGGTTATCCATCTGTTGTCTCCCCTTATGTGACTGGCTCAACTATATTTCTCTCATGTGTATCCTAGTTGATGTCTTTTATTCCTGAGATTTCACACCAGGTCTTCTAACTCCATATCCAAGGATCTTTCCACATTACCATCTGTCTAACGTTTAAGCTTCTCAATTAAATTGTAACATAGACGTGATGGGTTATGAGTCAAAATCAACCTGATTTCAAATACCACCTCCAAAACTTAGTACCAGCATCACCCTGGCCAAGTCACTTAATTCCCTGAAATCTCAATTGCCTCGTCTTTAAAATGGTGTTAACAATAGCATTTACTTCATAGGTTTAATAAGATACAACAAGATAAAGTATTAATTGTGTCATATAAATGTGAGATACTCTTATTATTAATGTCCTTGAGTGCTATTGGAGAGACCAGGGACCATGGAATATATATATATATATCAATAGAAACACATATATATACCATATTGTATATAACAATAGAAACATATATACCATATTGTATATAACAATAGAAACATATATACCATATAGTATATAACAATAGAAACATGTATGTGTTTCTATTGTTACATACAATACGGTGCTCAGTGAAAATTATGAAATTAGAAAATATTGGTCAAGTAAATTGACGGAGGCAAGGACTTACTGTTCTGATGCCAGTGGGAATAAGGACCCAAGCACTTCAAGGTTAGAGCCCTGTGGTGTTCATCCATTTATACCTGGAGTCATAAATACAGAACTGGAAGGTACCTCAAAGGGCATCTAGTCCAATCCCCATTATTTCACATGTTGAAAACTAATGCCCAAGGTGATTAAGTGACTCTTCTAAGGTCATTGTGGTAAGAAGCATCAGAAGTAGAATTTGAACTTAGGTTCTCTAACTCCAGAGTCAAGGTTTTTTCCATTACCTCTAATAGTGACATTGCTTGTGGCCTAAGGGAAAAAAAAATTTTTTTTCAAAGAAAATTCCTTGAGACCATCTAGTCTGCATTTATGGGTCCTATATATAAACTAACTTAGTGAGTCTTTTCTAACAATGATAAGATTCACCTGGCACAATTTGCTGTTCTTAGTCCCAGAACATCCACTCCTAATTATTCCATTATCCTTTATTCTTTTAATATTTATTCAATTACTAGGCTAACAATTGAAATGGGACTTGGTAAAAGTTAATTTAATTGTCTTTTTTTCTCTTACCTATTCTGGAGATAGGTATATCTTTTGCTTTGTTTTCTGTCTGGCTTCCTCTAGACCATGGTGAAGGCCCAATATAAAGTGTGCTGCTATTCACTTTTGTCTCTTCTATGCACTGTGATGGCTCATGTAAGACCTCTGTTTCACCCAAACACAGAAATTCTAAAGATAATGCTGGCCTACAACATTTTGACATCATGATGGATTTCTCCTGTGATTCTCCTTCCACTGAGACTCTCTCCCATCTGTGCCTTTTAAAATTCCTAAGGAACTTTCATGACCCACCTCAAATGCCACTTTTCCCACAAACCTTTATGTATTCATTGAAAAGCTAGAAGATTTCACTTTCCTCTGGGAACTTGACTTGTGCCTCACATAGTACAAGTCATAGTCTGACTTGTACCAATGTTATTTGCCTACTTATTTTACCTTATCTGCTAGATTGTTAGCTTCTTCAAGGCAAGTACTTTGTCTTGTTTGTAATTACATGCTCCCAAGGGCCTTGAAGATAGTAGGCGCTCAATGTCTGCTAAATTGATTTGTTTCAAACACTAAGAGAAGTTATGTTTCTTCTCAATCTATAAGCTATATGAAGGTAAAATTACCTAGTCCAGTGCGTGACATATTGTAGATCCTTAATACAAGTTTGTTGATTGAAGGTCTATTATACGTGGATTATTTATGATCTCCATTTACCTGATGAGAACTTGAGGCTCAGAGATGTTACATGATTTGCCCATGGCCATCCAACTGATAAATCTCTCAGGTAGGATTAGAGTCCAGGCCTCTCTTGCTTTGGCCAGTGCTCTTCTACTACATCACAGTGTTTCATTTTTCAACATCTTCTATTTCTGAAAGTACTCTTGCCTATTATCTTGTTCTTCTCCTTTTCACCAAATAGCCATCCAGTACTTTCATGCTGCTCACATGGCTGGCCACTCCGCTGCTGCAATTCTGTTGTTCTACATTTGCCTTTCCTACTCATTCTAATATTTCATGCTAGAGATCTTATCCTTATTTTTAAAAGCTTTTCTAGGTCCCGTCTTTAATAGACAAATGATAGAGAAATGGAGCTAGATAGTAGTGATAAAAAGGAGAGAGAGAGACACGGTGAGGGGAAGAGAGAGGGGGAAAGGTGATAGCACATTTCTTCAGTTTTTACTACAGATCAGGCACTGTGCTAAGTGCTGGAGGTAAAAACACAAGCAAGCAGACAATCTCGACCCTCAAGGGCTTACATTCTAATACTGGAAGACAACATATAAAAGGGAGTTGGAAAAGGGGAGGAGGACACCTATAAAGGAGAAAGACCATTGGTGAGGAGGAGAATAAAAAAAATCCAAATAGTTGAGTTATAAATGAAGGAGAGCATGGCTGAAACCCCTCCTGAAATAGTGGTCCTGGAAGACAGTCACCAACCAAGAGAAGAGAGTCTCAGGTTAAAGGGTTTTTCAGGGGCATAAGGCAATGGTGTTAGTGGTGGTGGTGGTGATAAGAAAAGGAAGGAAGAGGAAGAGGAGGAAAAGGAAGATAAGATCCTGCTTTACTGTAGAGCAATTTGAAGAAATAGCCTATTCTGGGATGAATACCTGGAAAATTTTGAGAGTGTTAGTGCTCTAGGCATATTTGCATTTGAGCTGGGGACTATTACTGGGTTGGCCTTAAGGAAAGAACGACTCACTATTAATGGAGCACCAGGCAGCAATTCTTAAGAAATCTTATAAGTAGAACCCTCTAGGACTGCATGCCTGAAGTAAGGGGGAGGGGAAAGATTTTTATTCCCTCTCAAATTAGATCATGTAAGGAAACCACTTATGACACTTTCTCAATGTGTGATCGTGAGCAAGTCACTTACCTTATCTGAGCCTCAGTTTCTACAACTACAAAAGTAGAGTAATGCTACTTACCATGCCTACCTTATACATTTGGAAGGGAGAGTTGATATGGAAACCATATCTTATGTCACATACCTTAAAACACTATGTAAAGGCCAATTGTTGTGGATGTTATTTGATCACCTTCACCCCAGGCCAGCTTTGTTTGCATCCATACAGGTCTATATACTCTCACATTCTAGATTAATTCAAAATAAAAATAATTTTTAAAATAATTGTAAATATATGTGAGATATATGTTTATATGCATATATATATGTATAATTTTCTAATTATTCCAATTCATTTTCTTTGTCAAAGACAGATTTTTAAAATGTGTTCAGAATATCAACTATTTTGGAGTCATCATAAATTTCATTTGAGTGTCTCATCAGCTTCACACTTTCCCTTTCTCTTCTTGCACTTAGAAATGCTTTTTTAAAAATTCCTACAATTCTATCAGGGCAGGTTTAGCCCATATTACATATTATTATTTATCCAATTCTAAAAAAAAAAAACCAGCAAGATGGGAGCATGAGTGTTATAGTGACTATAGCCATGAGCAAGAAAGCCAGGAAGAGGCATTACAGCTATAGACAACGACCTGTCTCCTTCCTGGTATTGACCTTCACTGATTCTTTATCAAAAGAATTCTAGTTTCTATCCAGCTTCCTCCACGTTATTCTGTTGGCAATTTTTGTTCCACCAATCTGAACCCAACCCAGGTTGTATTCAGGCATCAGATCCTAAATATTTCCTGTACTACGGCACACAGACTCCCCCACCCCATCTCTTAGCTTTTGAACTATCTGAATCCTTTCAGTACCAACTCCAGAAGCCCAGCGCTCTTCTCCTTGGTTTGCACTTCCAAATGCCCTTAGGTATTATAATTATCTATGTATATATCAAGTTTCCCTAGTCAATTATTATTTCTATGAGGGAAGGGACTCTGCCTTATCTAAAATTGATCTTTCCCACTACCTAGCATAGCACTCTCTACAGAGTTTACACATGATACATGCTTATTGAATTGGAGACTCAATTCAACTGAGTAGAGTTGAAATTATCATGGCTAGACATTAACCTCACAGAATCAACAAATCATAGATTTTTGAGCTGAAAGGGCTCTTGGAGGTCATCTAGTTTCCATTAGCATTTATATAAGTAAGAAAATCAAGGCTTATAGAAGTGAAGTGACTTGCTGATGGTCACACATCTAGTAGATGTGAGAGGTGACAGTTGAACTCGGGTGTTCTTGACTCCAATGACAGTACTCTATCCACTGTTACTTTTTCTTCCCACCCATCATTACTAGGGCACATATTTGGGGTTTTTCACCCTATAGGTGGGATTTTATAACAAACACCCCCAGTACCTTAGCCAGTCTCATTTATACCCAATGGCATACATTTGAGAGATGAGTGTCAGAGATTTAGAGTGCACATCAGAACCAAGTAGCCCTTGTGGACATCAAACACATGACTTACTTCCTTGGCAGTGTGGCAAGTGAAAAATAAAATGACTGGGGAAACAAAGGTTTGAGCTTCCAAGCATATCAATTTATTAAGCAATGCATGTCAATTGCCTAATAGAGTGGGACCAGAATTCCTCAGTTTAGGGCTGGACCCTGAATATAGTGGGAGACAGATTTTTATGCATTAAAATCAAGACCAATTAATTTTAAAAAAAACAATTAACCAGGATACAAAATTGGATCATATGATTTCTTATTATAGGAAAGATTAGGGACTGTTGAAGTTGGGAGGGGGAGAGCAAACAGGTCTAATTACATGACATCAGAAAAAGAAGTGTCCCACTCCCCCCCCCAAGTGACTATATTCAATCAAAGGAACATTGAAATATTAACTGACTGATCAGTACAGGGCCAGTTGTCAGAAAGATGAATGGGTTTCTTGAGGTGTAAATTGTGAGAAAACTCCTTCCATCAATGTTTGCATATGACTGGATTTCTGGGTAGCATAACCTGGGTCCTTAGTTAAGGGTTTCTAAGCAGCAAGTAGAGGTGGTTGAGCTTCTCAGCTACATGGGGCTACGCTCAAACAATGAAACAAAGTTTTCTTATAATTCCCATAATTGGATAAAGTTTCCTTACAAGATAGAAATCGGACTAGACCCATAATTGAATAGAGAGGGAACTGAGCTAGCTCCAAATTGAGTCACAAGATAGAATCAGTATGGTTCACCCAATTCCCACTGTCACTTGCTGTTCTAATCCTCTCAGTTCCTTCAGTATTAGACACCAAGCAACAGAAAACACTCTATTTAGGCAAACAATAAGGAGGTCTCTTCACGTAGGTAATGAAACATCTGTCTAAATGTTTTTAGGCTTAAGAAGCTAGACCAGGTAAGATCTAAAAAGTCATTACTGTCTGCAAATGAATGTTGGATGGACTCCTCATAGTCCTAATCAATGTTATTAGGCATAGGAAGTTATCGAGGAAGTATTAATAGGGGTTGATACAAAAAGACTCCAGATAATTTCATGAAAACCACCAGGGCTTAAGAACAATCAAACTAAGGCCAAGTTACTGTTGTCTAATTTCATATTTCAGTACATATTCTGGAAGGCCAAGAGGTATCCCCACTTCCTCATGGATTCTGTGGTTTGTTGGGGCTGAAAGAAGAGTATTTCCTAGGGCATGTACACACACACACACACACACACACACACACACACACACACACACACGAAGTTATTGAGAAAGGGGACAGCCTCCAGAGTAGGACATGTGCTAAGTCCCTCTCTTCCTTTTTCTTGAGGATGCAACAAGTAATCTTTTAATACTTCAGAAAAACCTGCACACTTGTCTTCCTCTCCTCACCCTTGCTTTTTTACTCATGTCCAAAATCAATTGGAACAAAGATTTCCTGGACGCAGGATTTCAAAGTATAATAAGCACCTCTGATCTCATTCTCCATCATTCCTAAACCTCAAATTATTCCTATTATTGGATCATTAAGAGCTTCTCTCTCCAAGTTTTCATAGTCTTGTAAGTTTTCTATACAAAGTATAGTAACCAGTTTTCAAGAAAACTGCAAGGAAGCAATTAGTAACACAGATCATTGGACAAGATTTGGTATGAGCTATTTGGTAATTCTAACTACTACTTTTATATTTCATTTTCTTCATTACTGGTGAGTGATGTCAAATTTATTCCCATTTTAGGGAAGGACTATGGGGGAGACAGAACATAGCATGGATAAATGTGTATAAGCTCTTTAAAATAAAAGTGCCATGGACATCCTGGTACTTATGCCTTTAATTCAACAAACATGCATTATGTCTTTTTTCATATCTTAGAGGCAGGCATAGAGTAGTGGATAGAAAGCTACACTTGGAGCCAGGAGGATCTACGTTCAAGTCCTGCTTTTAATACATACTGACTGTATTACCTTAGGCAAGTCACTTAACTTCTTAATACTCTACATAATTCTCTCAGACTATAAACTAGTTAGGACAATGGATAGAGTTCTGAGTCTGAAATCAGGAAGACCTGAGTTCAAATCCAGTTTCAGACACTAATTACTATGTGACTGTGGGTGACTCACTTTACTCTTTTTCGGATTCAGTTTCTTTATCTGTAAAATGGGAATGATAGCAGCATGTTATCTCCCAGGGTTGTGAGGACAAAATGAGATATTTGTAAAGTATTTTATAAACCTTAAAATGCTATGTAAATGCCAGCTGTATTATTAAAAGATGTCAAGGTGGCTTCCTCACCTAGAAGTTCTCTGTACTAATGCACTCAGAGTTTGTTTCCTAAACTTTGTAGCTGAAGGTTTGCTTATAGATGTTTTGTTACTCTATAAGCTCTTTAAAGGCAGAGATGGGGCCCCTCGATTCATTTTTTAATCTTCCTCCATGCCTAGCATTGGGCATTTAAGCATTTAAGAAAATGTTTACTTCTTGAAGCAAATAATAAAACATACACTTATTAAAGCATGCTACTCTAAGATTTAAATTTAGTCAAACACTCATATTAAGCACCTGTTGTGTGCAGTACAATATTCTAAACACTGGTAGAAATAGAAAGTTTAAAGAGGACACAATGTCTGTTCTTATGGAGTTTACAGTCTAAGATGAGGATCTTATATCATCAATGTTAGAGCTAGAAGAGAATTTCGAGGTTATCCAATCCAATTCCTTTATTTTCCAGATGAGTTAGCTGAAGCCTAAAGAGATTATGTGATTCAACCAAAGTGAGTAGCTCATCCTAAAACTGGGATCTGCACATAGGTCATCTGGAGTCCAAATCCAACAGCTTTTTGTTTTTTGTTTTTACTGAGGCACAGACATAGACGAATAGAGTACAAAACAATATTCGATTAAAAAAAGTTGAAAGCTTGAAAAGGCTTTATGTTGTGCTGGCCACATAAGCAAAAAAGAAACAAATGCAATGAGGAGCAGGAGACATAATTATCTAATCCTAGAACTTGGCTTCATTTCTATGCCTCTCCACTCTTAAACTACCATAGGTATTGCTCTCCTGCTCTCTATGGAAAAGTGGAAGGAGTTTTAGAATTGGGAGAATGGGTTATCAAACACCAGAACCTTGACAGTTTGTAGGAGTGCAGCCAAAAAAGTCTTACAGAGTGTGATTTTGTCTAGTCTAGCCATCAGAGACAAATAGAAAGGTACAGGGAATGTCTGCTCAAAAGATAAACTTGAGTCTAAGTGTATTAGCTATTTAGCTAGATGCAATCCTTATCTATCTTCTAGAGAGCCTGATGCCCAGAACAAAGAATCTCCTGACTTCTCCTTGAGAAATAAAAGCTAGAAAGCTTACCTACTAGTACCTTCCCTGCCCCAGTTGAATGATTTGATAGATAAGTAAGATAAAACCAGTTAAAAGTGGAATCCTTAGGTCATTGAACTAAAAGAGCATGACAGAGGCCACTCTTCTAATGAGAAGAGAGCACTCTACTTAAGAACTCCAGTTGAAACCAAAAGTTAGAAGGAGCAAAAAACTCTACAACTATGTGTCCCATGGCCCTAGTCCTTAGGACAGCCACCAGTGACCACAGGACTAGTGGTCAGAGATGAGTTCAGTAGAGACCACACATATCAATAGCCTATACATCCAGGCGAAGGCAAAAGGAGAAAGTCTGGCAAGAGCAGCCAGATGACATTCTTAGGAGACATCAGCCTCCCTGCTGCAGTAAAGAGATGAACTTGCC